TCAGGATAGTTTTCCAGGGACAAATGTTGTCGCCTGTTGAACGAGGTGACCTTGCTCGGGTCCCAGGTGTACGGTTCCTAAAATGGCTGCCATATACACGTCCACTGATAGGAGACGCGGAAGGTATTAAACTGATCAAGAACAATACTAAACACACACCACTAATAAGGTTTCTCTCCTGTATGGCTCCTCAAATGATGCTTAAGATTAGAAAGCGGCTGAAAGCATTTCTCACTGAGTATTAAACTGATAAAAATAGTACTAAACACACCACTCCTATCTGGTGTCACATTAGCTTGACCGCGCAGTGCCCCAAATTTGCAGTAAGAGGACCGACCAAGCCTCTTCTTCCATCTCCCTGTTACAAAATCAATGCCGTGTACACGACCACTGATAGGAGACGCGGAAGGTATTAAACTGATCAGAACAATACTAAACACACCACTCCTATCTGGTGGCACATTGGCTTGACCGCGCAGTGCCCCAAATTTGAATTAAGAGGACCGACCAAGCCTCTTCTTCCATCTCCCTGTTACAAAAATCAATGCTTGCGTGTACCGACCACTGATAGGAGCGTTGAAGGTATTAAACTGATCAGGGATATTACTACACACACCACTCCTATCTGGTGGCACATTAGCTTGACCGCGCAGTGCCCCAAATTTGAATTAAGAGGACCGACCAAGCATCTTCTTCCATCTCCCTGTTACAGAAATCACTGCCATATCCATACAAATTGTACAGAATGTCCAGGATAGTTTTCCAGGGACAAATGTTGTCGCCTGTTGAACGAGGTGACCTTGCTCGGGTCCCAGGTGTACGGTTCCTAAAATGGCTGCCATATACACGTCCACTGATAGGAGACGCGGAAGGTATTAAACTGATCAGAACAATACTAAACACACCACAAATAAGGTTTCTCTCCTGTATGGCTCCTCAAATGATGCTTAAGATTAGAAGCGGCTGAAAAGCATTTCTCACACTCCGAACAAAAATATATTTTTTTAACATTCTCTCCACTTTGAACGAAATGACGTTTGGGAAGAGATTAACATAATTAAACACAGGCAGTAAAAATACAGTTTTTAGCCATACCCTGTAACTTTAAAACTACACATCCATCTTCATAATTACATATTTGGAATCAGCACACTTAAAACATAAACATAACCAAAAATCAGCCAAATCCATCCAGGGGTTAAAAAGTTAGCTGGAAGTCCCTTTATGACCGACTGCAAGCACATTTTCCTGCCCAAAACAGTTCCATAGATTTGGGCTGTGAGGTCGGTCTATTTCAGGCTGAAAAAACGACTAAGTCCCATGGCGAATGGGACTTAGTCTCTGCAGCTGAAATAAGGCTGAAAAAAACGGCTGAAAAAAAGACTAAGTCCCATCGCCGAATGGGACTTAGTCTCTGCAGCTGAAATAAGGCTGAAAAAAACGGCTGAAAAAAAGACTAAGTCCCATCGCCGAATGGGACTTAGTCTCTGCAGCTGAAATAAGGCTGAAAAAAACGGCTGAAAAAAAGACTAAGTCCCATCGCCGAATGGGACTTAGTCTCTACAGCTGAAATAAGGCTGAAAAAAACGGCTGAAAAAAAGACTAAGTCCCATCGCCGAATGGGACTTAGTCTCTGCAGCTGAAATAAGGCTGAAAAAAACGGCTGAAAAAAAGACTAAGTCCCATCGCCGAATGGGACTTAGTCTCTGCAGCTGAAATAATTTCCCATTTACTGAACCAAGTGGGAAATAGCAAGGCAGGCACAAAGGTTTGCACCAGGTCTGGGGACACAGGGGACACCGTCTTAAAGGGGCCGTGTCCCCAACAAGTCTGGGGACACGGCCTTAAAGGGGCAGTGTCCCAATCTTCCTGATGTCCCAAAAAAGGTGTTTAAAGGGCCAGCACCAGTCACATAAAGAGTCCATAAGCCCCAATATGCCCACCGACAGTCTTAAAGGGCCATACACACCAAATAAAAGTGCATACATTTTCACAATCTCCCAGGGGCCATAGTCATGCGGGAGGAGGCTGGCAAAGAGGCTTCTCCACAACCCAGGGAAACAGGGCAATTTGCCATTTAAAGGGCCCGTTACAAATAGCAGTTTGTAACAAGGTGTCAATCCATATCTGCCAAGTGACCCGATGTAGGGGGAACAGTCCCTATTCTGCTCTGTGTCAGTGTGTATCAGGGATCCTTAGGACAGGTGTCAATCCATATCTGCCAAGTGACCCTATGTAGGGGGACCAGTCTCTATTCTGCTCTGTGTCCGTGTGCATCAGGGGCTCTGAGGACAGGTGTCAATCCATATGTCAAGGTGTCAACATGTCATATGTCAGGTGTCAATCCATATTGATTGTGATTTAGGAATGTTAGGTGATTTCTGCCCTTTATGGATTAAAACCAGACTCTGTATCAACTGTGTAATTTTCCATGGGAGTTTTGCCATGGATCCCCCTCCGGCATGCCACAGTCCAGGTGTTAGTCCCCTTGAAACAACTTTTCCATCCCTATTGTGGCCAGAAAGAGTCCCTGTGTGTTTTAAAATTCGCCTCCCCATTGAAGTCAATGGCGTTTCGGGCGGTTCGCCGGTTCGCGAACATTTGCGGAAGTTCGCGTTCGCCGTTCGCGAACCGAAAATTTCGGGTTCGCGACATCACTAGTTAACATTTTAAAAGTTAGAATAACAGAGCAGACTCAGATAAAAGCTACATCTGGCTTGATGAACTTTTTTTTCAATTAAACCTTACTTCTCAGGCAGATACTGCTATTGTTGCCAGATCAAGCATTCTTTGGTTATTTTTTCATAGTTGTTGTAGGTATATATTGATACAAGCAAAATGCCAGATGGAAATATATTACTTAAACACTGGAAGGATTCAACAAGAAGCACTGCATACCTCCTAAGTGTCCCTATTTAGGTGGGACAGTTCCTATTTTGGCCCCAAATCCATGTGTCCCTCTTTTCTAGGAATTCCATGTTATTGCTGTTTCAGGGCTCCACATATGTAATTCTTAAAGTAATTTAAACTTCAGTAAATGAATTTAGACATCAGTCTGTGTAAATAAGATATGGTTATTGTTCTAAATGACATTTTTTAAACATTTTGGGGTGGTGGGAAGAAACCATTCTTGACGATACAGCAACCAGCCAATTTCATCAGTATATACACAAATGGCTAAGATATATTGATGATATTTTGATATTCTGGACTGGTTCTTGCTCCAACTTCATTGATATGGTCAATGTGCTCAATAACAATCAAATTGGATTAAAATTGACATACGTGATCCATGAAGCGCAATTAGAATTTCTAGATCTTAGAATTCTACTAAACATGGATGGAACCATTGATACTGAACTATTTAGAAAAAGCACGGCATCCAACAGCCTTCTACATTGACGATGTTTCCATCCGTATCGCCTCAAGGCCGGGATACCATATGGCCAGTATCTTAGAGCTAGGAGGAACTGTTCTAATGATGAGTCCTTCCTAGCTAAAGCAAACAAACTAAGAACTCGGTTTAAGAACAAAGGATACCCAAACAAAATTCTCAAAAAAGCGTTCCAGCGAGCCATGACCCAAGACAGAAGTTTAAGTCTCCAGTCTACTAGACCCACCCCCACCAACCAGATGATCAGATGCATTTAAATGGCAACCCATTAAGGAAATATTCACCCAGCATTGGCCAATTCTTCAATACGACATAGATCTTAATCCGAAATCAGTTGCCTACCCAAACATCACTGCATATAAGTCAAGAAACTTGAGAGATCTTTTGGTACATAGTCATCTGGAAAGAAAATCATCCTCAAAAAATTGTCTAATTGCACCAATGGGAATCCACAAGTATGGACATTGCAAGGCCTGCCCTTTCATAAAACCTTCTAAAACCGTCAAATGCACAAAGACTCTCAAAGAGTTCAGAATTAACCATTTTATTACATGCAGTACCACACAAGTTATCTATATCATTACATGCTCGTGTGGAATGAAATACATTGGTAAGACGTATCAGGAACTGAGGAGACGCACCTTACAACATATCAATTCTGTAAAAAATCCAAATTTGAGCACTCCCGTTGCCAATCATGTTCGGAATTTTCATGATGGGAACCCAAATCATTTATCTTTTCAAGCCTTAGAAAGAGTTACTTTAAACTCTAGAAAAGGTAACTTCAACTTAATACTTCTACAGAAAGAGTCCAGGTGTATCTACAAGTTTAAAACCCAAGCACCAGGGGGCCTTAATGAGGAATTCAATTTTATCCCCTATATTCACCAACATTAGGGGTTTCTGCACACCTTTTCCATGGTTCCCAATGGCTAATGGTATGTGAGT